TGGTGTTCACAGAGATCTCCCCCAGGGCTGTGCAGGTGTCTTCTTTCTCGTCGAAGAAGGCATTCTCCACGCTGTACCTGGGGGGAGAGGGGGAGCGGCGCCATGAGGGCAGAAGCAGATCCTGCTCTGGGGCCACGTCCAGAAGCCAAGTCGACATTCCTTTTATTTTGTACTTTTGGGTTTTTCAAGACAGGGTTTCTCTGTGTATCCCTGGCTCTTCTCGACCAGGCTGGCCTCAAACTCAGAGAGCCACCTACCTCTGGCCCCCAAGTGCTGGGATTAAAGGTGTGAGCCACCACTGCCCAGTTCAAAGTCTATATATTCCTTTTTTTGGGGGGAGCGGGGGTTCGAGACAGGGTTTCCCTGTGTAGTTTTGGTGCCTGTCCTGGATCTCGCTCTGTAACCCAGGCTGGCCTCGAACTCACAGAGATCCGCCTGGCTCTGCCTCTCGAGTGCTGGGATTAAAGGCATGTGCAACCTGCTTCCAAGTCTACAGTCTTAAGTAGAAGAGCACCCCTACCCCGAGATCTCAGAGTCGTCCTCCACCTCCTCCTCCTCCATGTCCTCCTCCATGAGGTCTTCTTCCTCCTCGCTCTCATCATCAAACAGAAGGAAGGAGCTGATTCCATCATACTGAGGCTGGAGGAAGGAAGCAGAGCAGGGACTTTGGCTCAGGTGGGACCGGGAGACCAATCCCACCGCAGGGCTAGCCTGGTCTAACCGGCCCAGTTAACACCCAGCCTCTGCTCACCACGATGCCCTCGGTGGAGCGCAGTGACAGCAGCATGAGCGTGGTAATTTGCGGCAGGTAGGGTCCCAGGCCCTCGCCCATTAGCCCCGATAAGGCTGCAAACAGGCTGTACCTGATGAAGCGAGAGAGAACCGGTATGGTGCCGCCTGCTCCGGACAGACAACATGGGAGAGCCCCGGAACACTGGGGGGGGGGGGGCGGCAGGCGGGCGAGGCCGGGGCACCAGGGAGGGCCACTCACGTGCAACGCCGTAAGTCGGGGTCATCTATGTGGCTGCATAGCCCCAGCCCCAGCTGACAGCACTCTTCGGCCAGGGGCCTCATGGACTCCCCCATGGCCCGGGCCAGCACTCCCAGGGTCTCTGTGGGGGCGAGAGCTCAGCCAGCACTGAGGGGTGCAGACCGACTGGAGAGCCGAGGGCGGTAAGTGGAGGAGGCACTCGAAACCACCCTGCTCCCGGGTACGACACACACAAGGACAGCTCTTCGTCAGAGGAAGACACCCATCTGCCCCGGGAGAGGCCCCGGGGAACAACAGGTGGACGCTGGCCTTGCCCGGGTGCAGAGAGCCCTGCCGGGAAAGCCTCTCCTTACCCAGGCTCTGGATCTGCACGAGCTGCTGGTCCTCGTGGCCCGTCAGCAGGAAGCCCCGGAGAAGCTCCATGATAGTAGGGAAGTAGGGCATCAGGGAGTCTTGGGCCGCTGTGGCTGCAGGACGGGACGGGACGGGAGGCAGGGAGTGGGGACACGGACTTTCTGGGTGAACCCGCACCACACTTCACCTCCCCGGCCCCTGGCTCACCAATGGCCCCGATGGCGCTCACAGCCAGCTCCCTGGTGCGGGCTTTGCTGGGGGTCCTCAGAGGCTGCAGCATACACTCCATGAGCTCGGGTATGTAGGGCTGCACTTTGGGCCCTGTGCGCAAGGCAAGTGTCTTCTTTACCAACCAACCCAGGCCTCTGACCTTTCGCAAAACCCACTTCCTTCACCTGTCCCT